AGGATGATGGAGAAACCAATCGGCACTGAGAAAAGGCTTGGGAGAGAGAAACCAGAAGACAGAGGTCCTAGAACAAACCTAAATCCTTGGCCAAGTCTCTTAACATCTCTGGCCTTGGTTTATATATCCTTCTAGGAGTGAAGCAATCCCTACCCTGTCTTCCTCCTTGACCTTTGAGGGGACCAATAAACTCAATAGCAAAAACATTTAGGGTGTAGTGGGTGGGGTGGGTAGTGGACCATATTTTTACAAGTAACATAAATGAGGAGATTGAGAAAAGGCTCAAGATTTTAGGGAATGCAAGGGGGGCTGGACCCTTGATTGGGAGAGGGCGAGAGGGAAGCAATGGTGGAATCAGTACCTTGGGAAGGCCAAGAACGAAGGGGTTATATCAACAAAGACAGACCTGGATTATCAGGAAGCTAAGTGTGTTAAGAGTGTGGCTTCTTTGGGGTGCTGGTGGGAGTGGAGTCAGCCCAAGACCACAGTAACTCAGGCTTGGAAACAGCATGGAGGCAGGGGTATTGCCAGAGCCAAGATGGCCTGGAGAAGAGGATACCCATCTATGGGTCACTGGGGCTGGACACAATTTTAGAAATCACCTTGGACAGACATTTTCCAACTTTGGGGGGGTGGTGTTGGGGGGAAGAGAGGACCCAGATGACCTTTGAGGTTCCACAGAGTAGAATTTGCAAATCCATGGCTGAGTTTCTTTATTTTAATGAGAGAATGGAATTCTAGAGAAGAGATGTGATTGTCGAAAGGTCACATAGCAAATTAATTGCCAAACTGGGACTGGAACTCAGGTTTTCTGGATCCCATTCCTGTATCTTAGCTTCCCAAACTGGATCCGTGTGCAGGAAAACACAGAGGGGCGGGGTGGGCTTTAAGGTTGTAATTGCGTAGGTAAGAAGATCCTCCGAGCTAACAACACCTTCCTTCAGCTGCCAAATGGCACCTAAAATCCTACCTTTACCAAGTCACTCACAGGACTTCAAGAGTGTCAAGATTGGTGAAGTTACCTTGTCCACCTCCCCCTTTCCCCCCCCCCCCAAGGAAAGGGAAGCTGAGTACTGACAGGTGCTTCATTAGATCAAATTGATGGGCTCTGTCTTTCCGTAGCTTCCTACCACTTGTCATAGTACTGTTTGTTGCGTGCATCCAGATTCTCTTCCACAGGGCAGCTCTTTGAGTAATTGAGGACACTCTCATGTCTCTTTCCCTAGTTTGATTTCCAGACTACGTCTCTCATTGCTGTTGGTTCTCCAACATTCTTTCTTTCTGCTTCCTGAGCCCACTATTCTGTATACTCTCATTTGATGTTTTCTCAGAAGTGATCCCTAACACTGTGTACAGTATCCTAGGGGCACAGTCATTAGAGCAAGTGGGTCATTTCCTTCATCCTAGGTGCCATAACTCCATCAATGCATCCTCAAATCCCAATGGTTTTACTGCATCTTATCCTTCAGGCTTCCATTTAATGTTGTGTTGACTAAGAAGCCACTGATTTATACACAGGCTCTGCTGAGCCACTCCCTTGCCACGCCTCATACTCTGGCCTCCTGTCCTTTCATTTAAAGATCTAAGAGCAAGACCTCACACTCCTTGCCAAAAAATTTCACCATGTTACATTTAAAAAAATTTTTTTTAAAGTTTTTATTTTTGAGAGCAAGAGAGACAGAGCATGAGCATGGGAGGGGCAGAGAGAGAAAGAGAGGCACAGAATCTGAAGCAGGCTGCAGGCTCTGAGCTGTCAGCACAGAGCCCGACATGGGGCTTAAACCCACAAACCATGAGATCATGACCTGAGCTAAAGTCGGACGCTCAGCCAACTGAGCCACCCAGGCGCCCCTCTGTCGTGTTACATTTAGCCCACAATTCTTATCAGCCCAGATCTTTCTGTATCCTGCTTCTGGCTCTCAGATGAATTCTGTCTCCCTACCAGCTTCCTGCCCCCTGCAAAGAGACCCTTTGTGTGTCCCTCCAAGTCACTGAGGCCCTCACGATGTGGGACTCACCCCCTGGTTCATCTGCTCCATGCAATACAAGAGGCTGCCCTTCCATCCATGAGGTTTATACAGCATAATGATAATGGAACATGTTTATGCCAGAATATTAGGCAACCACAGTAGAATACCATTAAATTCTAAAAGCCATAGCGAGGGGCGCCTGAGTAGCTTAGTCGGTTGAGTGTCCGACTTTCGCTTAGGTCATGATCTCGCGGTTCGTGGGTTCGAGCCCCGCGTCGGGCTCTGTGCTGACTGCCAGCTCAGAGCCTGGAGCCTGTTTCAGTCTGTGACTCCCTCTCTCTCTGATCCTCCCCTGCTCGCGCTGTCTCTCTCTCTCTCTCTCCTAGAAATAAATAAAACGTTAAAAAAAATAAAAGCCATAGCGAAAAGATTATGTCAAAGTTATAAATAGTAGCCTCTGCAATGGGACCATAGGTGATTTTTTCTTCCATGTTTCATTACACTCTTCATCCAGCACATGTTTACAATGAAGGGCTTATGTGTATATTTCTCAGATTTTCTCTGCTGAGTATGTGTTATTTGGAAAACCAGGAAAAAAAATTGTGACAATAAACTGAAAAGGAATAAAGACTCTTTCCCTAGGTGGCCCTTGATGATTTCATCAGCACTCTTTGGGGAAAAGCATTCCAGCCCTCCCTGCACTTAACCATCCTGCCTTCCACTTGCATTTTCCCCTTCCTGCCCACAGGCCACAGGGAAATCTCCTAGGCCTCCTGGCAGGAACCCAAGGTGGTCTTCCAGCTGCCCGCAGGAAGCTTGGAATAGAAGCACCAACACTAGGCAGAAGTGGGAGCAAGTGGCAGCCCAAGTCGCAGCCATCTCTTCATGCACCCACCCAGGTGTTGATTTTTATCTAAGAGAACGCGTGCAAGGCAGTTTTCCTGACAATAGTGTTTGTAAAAGGCGCGGAAATATTATAAGGGCCATGGTTCCCCTGGGTGCAGTATTCAGAAGGGCCTCCAGGTGGTGAGGAAAAGGTCTCGTCCAGAATGACCCATTTGATCCACTTCCAGAACTTCCTACGGATGTAGGGCTGGGGTTTCCCCTTTGTCCTTCGAAGCACAAAGGAAGCCTGGAAGCCACGGAGTCCTCCAGTCTTCTGTTAGGGCGAAACACCTGAGGTTCCACCGAGCTAAGCTCTGGCTTAGCTGCAAAACCTGGCCCTGGCTTACCCTCTTCCGTCCAGCAGAGGGCGCGCGCCACCCGCGAGAAGGAGGGTGCCGCAGCAAGCCTCTGCTGGGAGGGGCGGGCGCAGACCACGGCCGGGAAAAGGTGTCCCTTTTTCTGAAAATAAGGAGGCAGATCCAGAGAAAAGATAGCGTTGGAGATACCGGTGTGTGTGTGTGTGTGTGTGTGTGTGTGTGTGTGTGTGTGTGTGTGTGAAAGTCAAAGTGAGTGTAGGCTGAGGAGGCGAGCGGAGGTGGGGAAGAACTGGAGAGACTGAGGAAAAGTTGAGATGGTGTGAATATAAGACAGGGTGCGGGGCGCCTGGGTGGGGGGCTCAGTCCGTTACGCGTCTGGCTTGGCTCAGAGCATCATCTCCCCGTTTTCGAGTTTCTGCCCGGCATCCAACTCTCTGCTGTCTGCTTGGAGCCTGTTTCTAATCCTCTATCTCCCTGTCTCTCTGTCCCTCCCTTGCTCTCTCTCTCTCAAATAAATAAACATTTTAAAAAATTTTATTGATGCTTTTTATTTGTTTCTGAGAGAGAGAGACAGCGTGAACAGGGAAGGGGCAGAGAGAGAGGGAGACACAGAATCTGAAACCGGCTCCAGGCTCTGAGCTGTCAGCACAGAGCCCGACGGGGGGCTCGAGCCCACGAACCGTGAGATCATGACCTGAGCCAAAGTCAGACTCTCAACAGACTGAGCCACCCAGGCGCCCCATAAACATTTTTTTTAAAAAGACCGGTTGGGGGGTGCCTGGGGGGTGGCTCAGTCGGTTAAGCGTTGGACTTCCGCTCAGGTCATGATCTCCCTGTTGGTTAGTTGGAGCCCGTGTGCGGCTCTGTGCTGACAGCTCAGAGCCTGGAGCCTGCTTCAGATTCTGCGTCTCGCTCTGTCTCTGCCCCTCCCCCACTCATGCCCCCCTCAAAAATAAATAAACATTTAAAATTTTTTTTAAAAAGAGAGACAGGGTGGGATGGGGTGGGGCGGAGGTGGAAGGGAGGGGACGCAGGTTGACGTCCAGGGCTGGGCAGAGCGGGGCTGCTGCCGCACCGCCTCCCTCTTAGGCTGGGCCCACCCCCACCCCGGGGCTCATCCCTCCCCTGCGTGGCACCCAAGCCTGCTTTGTCCTCATTCTCTCCAACTCTTCCCCCTAATGCTTTTCTGCTCCCGCCTAACCCCAGCATTTCCTTTCCCGCTGAAAAAAGGTTCTGGTGCAGCAAAGAACACAGAGAGGAGGCAGTAGGGGGCTCGGAGCTTTAATAGAGGGGAGGGGAATAGAAACACACCAGGCATCCTGCGCGTGAGGGGGGGGGGGAGGCAGAGGAAGGGGGCCAGAAGCCACCTAGACGTGTCACAGGGGCAGCGGCCCTCACCAGGTCGGGTGAGACCTTGGCAGTGGAGGAGCAGGTTGGGTGTGAGGCCCCATCACTCTAGGACGGGGCAGCTGGAGGGGAGAGAAAAAAAAAATGAGAAAAGATTTGGAATTCGAAAAAGAGGGGTCATGATGGAGGGCGCTTCCAGGAGCCAGGCCGAAAGACAGGTGGAGGGCAGAAAAAGACAGGGACAGGGCAGGTCCGGGAGCCCCCTTCAGGGTCTGGGGCCTAGAAGATGGAGGTTCAAGGAAGCGGGGGCAGGCCGCCGTCACAGCTGGGGTGGTGGCAAACCCAGTGTTGAACGAAGACTGAGGAGGCTTCAGGCCCCTTCCCCTGGGGCTGGGGCGACGATGATGCAAAATCGGAGATCAAAGGAACGGTGGGGGAGGCTCCCCGGGATGCGGGCGCGCGCGGCGCCCGGCCGCCCCGTCTAGTGGTAGTGCGCCCCCAAGTGCGAGGCGGCGGCCACCGCGCCGAAGGGCCCGGGCGGGGGCTGCAAGCCGGGGCTGGGGTAGAGTGCGGCGGTGGCGGCGGCGGCGGCGGCGGGGCCCGGGCCGGGCCAGTAGGAGAAGCCGGCGGGCGCGACTCCGGCCGAGGCGGCCATGAGGTTGAGTTTGGAGAGGCCGGGGAAGGGCAGCGGGGCGAGGCCGGCGGGCAGCTTGTAGAGCGCGCCGTCCTGGGCGGCGGCGGCGGCGGCGGCGGCGGCGGCGTGGGCGTGCGCGGGCGGCGGCTGGCAGGCCTGCGCCAGGCCCTGGAAGTCGAAGCGGTAGGCGTAGCGCTTGCCGTGCACCTTGCTCATGATGTTCTTGTCGTAGTAGTAGCGCAGCGCGCGGCTCAGCTTGTCGTAGTTCATGTTGGGCTTGCTTTTGCGCTCGCCCCAGCGCCGAGCCACTTCGTCCGGGTCCGTGAGCTTGAACTCGCCGTGGCCACCCTCCCACGCGATGCAGCCGGCGTTGGCGCGGTCCGCCAGCAGCTCCAGCAGAAACTGCCACAGCTGGATCTGCCCGCTGCCTGTGGGGACGGGGCGGTCAACCGCGGGCGGGATGAGGGAGGCGGGACGTAGGGGAAGACGTGAGGCGGGAGACCGGGTCGGCCTGGTGGGAGCTGGCGTCGGGGAGGGAACGCACGCGTCCAGAACGGTAGCTGGGCGCAGCTGCAGCGGCTGGCCGGGGAGGGGCTGATCCGCCGAGCAATCCTTAGCCCTTACCGCGTTTGCACAATGGGAAATACGGCTCCCACCTAGGAGGACCCAGCTCTGCGGGCGCCTGGCTGTGCGAGAATTGGGGAGAAAGGCAGGTCGAAGCACGGCCTCCTTTGCGTGGGAGCAGCAGCAGCTTCCTCCGAGGCCAACAGGGGCCAAATATCAGCCCCTACTGCCGCTTCGGCCCTGCGCCCCTATTCAGAGCAGAGAGGAGCCTACAGAACCGCACAGGGTAGTCTGTGCAGGTGGTTAGACTGCCCCATCCCAGCTGGACCATGTCTGCAAGTTCAGAGTGAAGAGGCAGAGGTGCGGCAGGATCACCCCCTCCACTAGACAAGGCTTAGCCCCCAAAGGCATACAGTTGGACTGGCCCTCCCTAAGGTGGAAAAGAGGTGGAGGCTGTCTTTCTTGCGGTACCAGACAGGAATGGGGGCAGCGGCCCCCAATGCGTGTGAGAGGGTCGGACTCTGCCGGCTCCCCGCCCTTCTCAACTGCCGGGGGCGCAGAGCACAGCGCTGGCGCCCCTCGGGTTCAGCACCCATTTTCGGAACAGGCGGGATTGCTGGCATGTGAAGGTACCATACTTCTCTGGGGCTGATGCACAGGTCTGAGGACAGGAGATAAGACTGGGAAGCCGCCGTGCTTAGCTCCCTGCCTCCTCCCATCTTTGGCCGTCTCGGAAGCTCTTCAGCCCGTCCTGATTTCAGGATTTGCTGGAAGCGGCCAGTAGGATTTTCCCGGATATGCCGGTGAGGAGAGAGAGGGCTGCCCGAGAATTTCCACTCTCTTGTTTTGGAGCCTCAATCAGACAAGGGGAGAAAAATCTTGGTACAATTACTTCCTCTCACTCTCTTTTAGGGGAAAAAAAAGGAGGGCTGTTCCTCCAAGTAGTCTGATTATTGATTCCAATCAAGCCTGGTAGAACCTCTCTCTTCTTTTCTCAACCACTCGCTCTAAACACTGACGCTGCCACTCCCCCTCATTTTAACCCCACTCTCTCCACACGAGCTCAGCGAGTAGCTGCCTGACTTCAGGCCCTTTTAGGGTCACAAAGAAGGAAAGGTTTGGGTAAGAACATGCAGCTGGCACGGATCCAGACAGACATCAGAGGCTTGGAAACCCATTTTGTTGGGAATCATGTTTCCTTTAGGATAAAGTCGTTTCCAACCTTGTCTTTGTGGTTACTGCGACTTGGTGAGATCTAGGGTACTGAGGTGGGGGACTTTGGGGAGGCTTTGCCCGGAGGGCCAGCCAGGCTCTGAGACCAACAAGGCAAAGCCGAGTAATTTAGCGACCTGCGGAACGAAGAGCGGAAACCTGAGAATCAACTGCGATAGCCCAGCAAACTTGGCCCCCAAGTGAGGCAGGTAGGTGCTAGCCCGGTGCTAGTGGTGTGGAGGCTTGGAGTGACCAGGGGATAATTATCCGGATCCTCTTGCCCAGAGGTCCTGAGCCTTGCACTCCCGTTGCCAATAGGGAAAGGACACCAAGCACCTGGGTCCTGGCCCTGCAGCAGAAAAGGCCAAGGGCTATACAGGTCCAGCTCTGGGACCCGAAATATGCTGGAGCCAAAAGCCAAGTGCATGCCCCCTCTCCTCAGCCTCCCCACAGTCATGCCCGTACCCTCCCTTTCCAGAGCCCCGCAGTGCACACGCTTCCGCCTTCCGTTCGGGTGGCGGGTGGCGCCGGTGCTTCTGGGGTGGATGCCCCGGCCTCCGTCCACTGTTCTCGCCCCCGCCCCCAGTCGCGGGCCAGCTCACCTTTCTGCACCGCTGGGCTCAGCGGCCCCCACCCCGGGCTCTTCCCATCCTTGAAGAGACCGTCTCCGACGGGATCTGTAGCAGCGGAAAAAAACAATCATGAGGACCGGGGCGGAGGTTGTGGACTTGACCGAAAGGGCTCCGGGCCAAGGCTCAGGAGGGTGGGGGTGTTGGGGGTTGGTTCCCGGGTGCAAGGCTGGGGGCTCGAGCCGCCAGCTCCTCCTCCAGGAGCCTGGCCTGGGCGCGCGCCGCGCGGAGCCCCTCCATAACGCCCAAGTCAGGAAACGCGTCCAGGAAAAAGGAAATCCGCTTTCCGAACGGGCCGGCGGGAGCCTTATAAAGCCGAGCAGCCAGTGCGCCCGGCGAGCGGGAGCGCCCGGAGCCCATCGGGAGAGGAGAGGAGGGCGCATGCAAGGCTGGGCTGGTGGGAACGCTCGGAGCACGGAGGTGAGGAGCCCCGGGGCGCAGGGGCGACGCTCAGCCGACCACAGCCTCCCAACGCTGAACGCACACGGAGTCCGTCCCCGGCCACACCGAAGACCCCTGCTTCCCCTACCGGGCTTTCTCAGACCCTGAGCTCCCACCCTCGGCCTCCCAGGTTCCCAATCTGCTCACCTGGAGTCCTTAGACCTCACACTAAAACCCCAAATCTCTCCATCCGCCTTTAAGGTCCCCCAATGCCCTAGATTGCTCAGTCTTCCCAGCAATCCTAGTCTCTGGACCGCATCCCCTTCCCTTGGACCCCAGCAACCCCTTCCCATGCCCTAGCCCAAAGTTCCGGCCCCAGGTCCCGGTGCCTCCAGCCCCCGGCTGGTCCCTGGTACCTGGCAGGTACATGTTGATCAGCAGGGGCTGGGAGGCGCCGCTCTGTCTCATCGCCGCCAGGGACTGGGTGGTGGGAGGTGGGGGGGGGGTGATGAGAGAAGGGGGGAAGCGTCAGGCTTTGCGCTCCGGGGCACGGATCCCCGCCAGAGGCAACCGCGGGTGACAAGGAGAAGAAGACGGAGCGGGTCCGACAGGGCCTGGCGGGAGGGGGCTGCCCGGGTGTGGCGGGGGATGGAGGGGGTCCTGGAGCGATGCTCCCAGCTACCAGGCTGCTTGGAACCCTCCGGCCCCCCGCGCGGGCAGGGGCCGCAATTTCCGTTTTAATTAAAGCGCCGCAGCCTCGGCCCCCCGGACCCCGCCCCCGCCCCTCTTATCGCCCCATCGCAATAAAGTCTCCAACGCGCCGCGCCGCAGCCAAGCGCACCCAGCAGCCCCCAGCGCCCCGCAACCCTGGAGACGCGCGGGGGATGGGCCTGGGCCTCCCGCTCTGATCGGGGTCGGGAGCGCATTTCTTTTCCGCCTCCGTGACTCTCAGCAAACAGCGAAGGGGCAGGGTACCCGGCCCCACCTCGGACCCCGGGGGCCACAGCCCCTCATTCCGCCCATTCTCGCCCCCATCTGGGCTCCACTCTCCTCCCCCTTCATCCCCCCACCCCCGCCCGGGTTCCCGTCTCCAGGCTGCGTTATCTGCATCTTCACTTTTAAATTTCCGCTTCCCTCCCTCTCGCCTGTCGCTCGGCTCCCGGCCGGGCAGCAGTTGCTCCCTTTATCTCCGCCCCCTCCTCCTCCCTCCGCCTTCTCCCTACTCTTCCTCGCCTGCTCTCTACTCTTCCCTGGAGACCCGATCTCCTTCCCTGTTTCCCCCCTGCTTTGGCCTGTTTCCTGCCTTTCCAGGGCTCCCAGCCCTTTGGGCCAGCGCGGGGTCGTCTCCCTCACAACTTCCAGTGGGTTGCCCCTTCTTTCCCTTTCTAGGTCTCTCCTTCCTCCTCTAGTCTCTTCTGTGCCATCCCCCTTCCTGTTTCCTCGCTGTCTCTCTATGCCTCTCTCGCTCTCTCTCTGTCCAGTGTCTCTCCTTTTCTCATTCATTTGTTTCCTGACTAATTTGTGGCACGCAGTAGGCTCATGATTCCCCTCCACTTCCCCCCAAAACCATAGCTCTTCCATCCTTCCCCATCCCTTCGTCCCAGCCTACTATCCACCCTCACAACTACTCTCATCCTGGTTCTCTATGAACAACTGGTATCTTGTTCTAGCAGGAGGAGAGGGGTGGAAACACTGTTGTGTTCTGTAAAAGGCCCCCAACCCAGGATGGGGAGGGGGGGGTGGAAGCTGAAATCCATTCCAAAGACGCTTATTGTGTATTAGCAAAGCGGATGTGGTCCCCAGGTGGCCTGGAGTCGCCTTGGGGCTTCCTGGCTCAAGGGAGCCTGACTAAGGAGGGATGCTGGCTGAAGGTGAGGCTCTGGCTAGGAGCCTCGCTGCGGCCATGCAGCACCTGGTGGCTACTGTCCACATTGACACTGCTTGAGCCCAGGAGGTGAGGAGGCCTGGGACTCCAGGGCACACGGATCGGAGTGGGAAAGTCTTCTGTAGGATCCATGATGCAGGGGTGCCTGATTGAGGATGGCTGGAAAGTTCAACTTCAGGGGCTCAGCAGGGAGGGCCCCTGCTCATTCCTCACTTGCTGTAACTGCTGGAGTGTCCATCTTTGCTGATGAAAGGTGCAAAAATCAGAAGGAGCAAAGGAGGACTGAGGGAGGCAGAGCCCAGGGGAAAATGGGAGCTCTCAGGACTCCAGAGGATCCTCAAGGAAGAGGGATGGGGCTTTAGGATGTAGATGAAGAATCTGGGGGGGAGCAAAGATAAGAGATTAGGGTGCTTCCTGGGGACCAAACCCAGGGCTTCACGGGGGGGGGGGGGTGGGCTTTAGGGAGGGTTGAGGTCCTAATGTCATTCCTTCACACCTTCATATTTCTTCCCCAGATAGAAAATGAAGAGCAGGAGGTCAGAGCTGAGAGGGGGGAGGGGGGCAGTGAGGTCCACCCACATAATGCTCTCAGCAGAAGGCTGAGACAGAAGGGAGAGATGGTCAGAGTTGGGGGTCTACCCAGGCATCCCGCCTCCAGACTGGTGAGGGATTAGCAGCTCAGGCTCTGTGCCTCTACCTCACTGAAACCTCAGGTGATGGAGGGGTAGGTGAGCTCTGAAAAGAGTTTGTCTGAGAGGTATTCCCTCCCCTTGGGTCTTGGCTGCGCCTGAAAGAAGACCTCCTTCATCCCCTTTGGCCTTGGCAGAGTACAGCCAATGGATGAGTCCCAGACAGCTTCTCCTGCATCCTCCTCCCACCGGACTGGGTGCCAGTCCCACAGGGTTCTGCTGACCGTCAACCTGCCTAGAATGGGAGGAGGTTGGAAAGGTGAAAACACTCAGTTCTAGCCTGGCCTCTGCATCCCATACTGAGTTTCCAGTGTGGGAAGCAAGAGTTGGACCCCTGGGTCCAGGAAAACCTAGAAGGTTCATGTTGACAAAGCCTGTAGCAAATAGTAGCTCTCTCATCTCCCAGATGGGGACACTAAGACTTAGAGATAGAGCGTGTCCTATTCAAGTTCACGCTGCCAGTCCCTACAGCCATCTTGCTGGCTCCTTCCAGAAGCCACAGACCCTTCTAGAAGGAGGGCAGCTTAGCTGATGGTGGATACTAGATCTCCCTTTGCCCACTGCCTACCCTTGCAAAGCAGGAAGTGGAGAGATAGACTGCTGGGATCTGAAGCCAGTTTGTCAGGGTTCTGGGTTCAACTTCACTTCCCCAATTTCTTAGCTGTATGACTTTGGGGGAAGTTAGTCCCTTCATCTGTAAAATGGGGATTACGGTACCTACCATACAGAAATACGAGGCTTATATAACCCGACCTGAGCACTCAGAAGGGCTCTATGTACATTTAGCTATTGTTACTATTATTCTCCCCCAAGTGGACATTTAGGACCAGGAAGGAGCCCCAGGCTCTTCTGGGGCCCAAAGAGGTTTGGGGCTCTGCTGAGGCTTTTAGCCACCGCTCAGGTCAGCCTCCCCTTGACAGCCTGGATTTGGGGTCAGGAGCCCTGTGTTCAAGTCCTGGCTTTGTCACCAGTTAAATGGATGACCTCATCAAACCTTCTCCCTCTCAGACTGTGCAGCTTCATTGGTGAAATGGATGAAGTATGGAAAGTGTTAGGAGAAACAAATGCAACAGGGGCCACGGACTCCAGAACTCATCCAGGTATAAAGCAGAATTCATATTCTACCCAGAGTTCTGTCCCTTGCTCCCCCGACCTAACCCTAGGATCCATGGATAGGTGGGGTGGGGGTTCAAGGGATGGGGACCCTATGTTGACCTCTCCAGTGCTTTTCCATAATAACACAAGCATTTTTGGTAGATTCTCCTTGAATCCTCGCAACACTGTGAGACAGACAAGGCAGAGATCAGTCACCCCAGTTTACAGGTGAGGGAATGGAGGTTCAAAGATGCTATATTAATGGGTCCCAGGTGTTCTGACTTCTGGTCCAGGGCTCTTCCTAAAGGAGCAGATGCCTGACTTTGCACAGCCCTTGGGAATGGCTCAGGTCCAAGTCCGACTGTTCTCCCACATTGCCCTGCCTTCTTTGGGCTTGGGCGATGATCTGGGCCACTTCTCCCCATTGATATGTCCACTAGGGGCTTGAAAACACAAGCATCCCTGAATGACAGAATGGGAGGAGTTCCAAGGACTTTGAAAGCCCTACTTCTGAGACTAAGGGCATCATTAGCTGGGCCAAAGAGGGAACTGGGTAGAAATTGCATTGGTGCCAAGAGATCTGCTACCACACTCAACCCCAACATGGCTATGGGCCTCTGCACCGCTTCAGAACCCAGGCCCATTGTGGTCAGTGGCTATAGGATGGACTTTCCAGCTCACCAACCCTCTGAAGAGAGGGGAGGGAGAGGAAAAATGAAGGGCGTTCTTTGAAACAGCTGAGAGGAGGAGCATAAAAATGCTTTGTAAATGTTGGAGCTCAATATCATGAAGAGGTTGTTATTCAGACAAAATGTCTGGGGGCTCCACTCAGAGAAAGTCTCCCCTTTCGAAGGCCCTGAAAGGCAGTGGAACTTCCCACTCATTTATCCTCTTACAGTCTTGCTTCTCTATCAGACAGAGATTCTATAAGCTAGGAAAGGAGTGCAGGCTTTACTCGGTTGGACAGGCAGCCAGGCTAGAAGACAAACTCCTGGGGGTTAGAGAAGAATCCAGCTGAGCTCTGCATAGGGTTACACAGGTCCTGCTTGCATCCTGGTACCTGGCCCAGGTGGTTGGAATTCAGCTATGAGCCCTATGGTAGGACACCCAAACCAGAAGATGGCAAAGGCATCACATGTGCTATGGTACACCTGGCCCAAGCTGATGGGCCTTTCTCAAGGAGAGGTGTGGGGCTGGTTGTATTTAACAGAATCCCTAAGATTCTTTTTTTTTTTAATTTTTTAAAATGTTTTATTTATTTCTAGGAGAGAGAGAGAGAGAGACAGCGTGAGCAGGGGAGGGTCAGAGAGAGAGGGAATCACAGACTCCGAAATAGGCTCCAGGCTCTGGGCTGGCAGTCAGCACAGAGCCCGATGTGGGGCTCGAACCCACAAACCGCGAGATCATGACCTAAGCGAAAGCCAGACGCTCAACAGACTAAGCCACCCAGGCGCCCCAGAATCCCTAAGATTCTTAACAGCAGTTTTCTCGGCCCTGTCAGGATCTAGCCATATACATCCTAAGCCAGTTTATGCTTCATAGTCAACAGTCCCAAAGCCTGAGGGAAGGGTCAGGTCGGCAGGGAAGGACTTTCATCCGTCAGAAGGATTAGGATGAAGATCACAATGCAAGACACCAAGAAAGAGGCAACAGGGACAGGCAGGTTCAGAAACCTTTATTGAGGGTCCTCATGAGGGGTGTCAGGGCTGTGGGGCTTAGTGCTGCACTCTTCGAATGGACTGCAGCAGCCCAGTGTGGGCCTGCGTGCCAAATTCACTGTAGTTTCGGAACTCCCCGCTGTGCCGGTCCCGCTCCAATACATACTGGTAGCCCCGATAGCCTGGGTACTGGTAGGCCACCCACCTACGCCAGTGAGATCACAGAGGTGGTAAGCAGGCTCTGCCTTCATCCCACCAATGTCCCCCATTAGTAGCCCCCGTTTCTCAGCCCCCAACTCCCAGCTCCA